GTACTCTCTCTCTCTCTCTCTCTCTCTCTCTCTCTCTCTCTCTCTCTTTCTTGAACAGGTATTCTCTCTCTCTCTCTCTCTCTCTCTCTCTCTCTCTCTCTCTCTCTCTCTCTAGAGAGAGAGAGAGAGAGAGAGAGTACCTGTTCAAGAAGCAGAGACAGTCGAGTACCTGTTCGTGATCATGATTCACGACTGCTCTCACAAGTTGGGACTTTTGTTCTTTTGATCATCATGACTCTGCTCTAACTCTGAGATGAGGTGGGTTGGTCCCTGCCTGCGCTCTTGAGCTGAAATCCCAAGTGCCCTACCTGGAACGAGTACGACCTTTCTATAACACAAAAAAAAAAGAAAAAAAAAGAAAAAAAAAGGAGTTGTCGTTCTCTCTCCCGAGTACCTGCTCAAGATGCGATCAGGTACTCTCGAGAGAGAAGGGAAAAAAGTCGGCTGTCAATTCTCTTTCGCTGCTGGTCTCAATTTTGTTCAATTGATCGGAAATGTGTTTATTATCAGTTTGCTCTCACAAAGTACGAGCGAGCCCCGAACCCTCGACTATGCAAGGAAAAAGTTTTTTTTTTCTATGCTTTGTCTGAAATTCTCTCTTCTTTCGTTTTTGGTTTTTATTTTAATTTTTTTATGAGAAGAACCCGAGTGGGTGTGAGGGGTGCTGATAAGAGCAGGCACCGTTAGTACTCCCGGGGAGGCTTCATCTATTGGTGGGGACCACCACCTATGCTTTTTCAAGGGGTAGTGGTGCAAGAGAAGGAAGAAGAGCCGGCTGTCAATTTGCTTTTAACTCTGGTCTTGCTTAGGTTGACGTCGGGTTAAAAACAATAAAAAAAGGTTGACGTCGGGTTAACCAGGCATTTTCGTGCATAGTCGAGGGTGCATGGCGCGCTCGTTATACAACTGCTACTCCTTTTGAAGTATTAACTCCATCGCTCCAGACCGAATTCTTCTTCGTCGACGATCCCCGCAGGGTCCCCCCCCCCCCCCCCCACACCCCACAAACTGCGATGTGTTTTTTTTTTTTTTTTTTTTGTCCCCTACTCCTCTGCGAATCCGTGTAGTTGCCTTTCTCTGTGGTCCTGTCTCTTATACACATCTAGATGTGTATAAGAGACAGGAACGAGAAACGTGTTCTTTTTTGGGGGCCCGGAGAGACGCTCAGTCAAAAGGTGGGAGGCAAGCGGTGTGGTGAAATCGTTCCTTTTGGCCAGCAAATTAATAATGAACTAGTTTTCTTTTTCTTTTTTCCTTTTCTTTCCCTTCTTTATTCTCTTCTTTCTTGTGTTTCTCTCCTTTATTGCCACCCCTGTTAAGTCATTTTAAGAGTCGAACAACAGTCAAGCTCAACAGGGCCTTGTTTCCGGCACGGTGTCTGGGAAGGCGGGACCCAGGTTCCAGTGTGCAGTATTCGGTATACACTCAAAAAAACCATGCTGTGTCCGACTGTTTCGTGTGTGGTGCTGTGTGTGTGCGTGTGTGTGTGTGTGTGTGTGTGTGTGTGTGTGTGTGTGTCTGTGTGTGTTTTGTCCTATTCGCTATAATTAAAACTGGAAAAAAAAGCATGACTGCGCCAGACTGTTTCGTCGGACGTTTCCACCGACTCATCGGGAGGTGAGTGTGTGTTGCACAAACATACTTAAAAAAAAAGAAAACTTACGTTATTTCTGTGTTTGTTTTGGCATGTGCTATGCATTTATTCTGTACTAGCTTTCGTGCGCGGGTGTAAATATATACGCTCGATGGACGTTCGCAAGCAATCACGGAAAATTCGTGATTTGTCCTGCCTCCACCATCTAATGTCTTCATTGCGGCGATGGGTTGCCTCTCTGCTAAGCGGAGCCATGGGATCTTTCGTCCTCATGTGTATTATTCTGATGACGTGGACAAGTGCCAGCGTTCACTCGGCCACCACGAAGGAAACGTTGGTCCATGCCGCCATAGCCATACCTCCTCCCATTACTCCATCTGCTGATCTGGCCTCGGGAGGCGGCCTCCTCTCAATTCCATCCAGATGGCGTGTGTTGGCAGAGCCTGCGGTTCAGTCGTCATCTCCGTCGTCGGGATCTGCAGCTTCGTCTGCCGCTTCGCCTTTGCCTGGGGCGGCTTGGTCGGGTGCTTCGCCTTTGCCTGCGCCAGCTTCGTCGGCGGACGCACCGCCCGGTTCCGACCCGACTCCGCCGGCGTCTATACTCGTTCCCCGCAACAGAACTTTGTTTCCGTCAAGCCGACTGGTGTGGTCCCACGCTGCCGTCCCTCCGTTCCTGCCATCGTCGACGGGCAAGCTCTTCTGCCGCTCTGCGGTCAATGACTTAGTCGTTGCTCCACAAAGTACGGCAATTTACCTCCAACTCTGGGAATTCTGCCTCATCCAGCGCCAGCTCTCTCATCAGCGCCAGTCCATCTGGAAAGCAGAACTACCTCACGTTAGTGACGGCGGCTCTACTACCAATAGCGGTCAGGCTCCGGAGGGGGACTTACTCAGCTACTGGTGGCCTTTCGACAAGGGAAACGGCTATGCTGTGAACACCTCAGACATCCAGTACGCTGGACCACGCGACACCGTTTCGATGGCCGACATTTGGGCGATGGATGTGACTCGCGCGGGCGATCGTCTTATCATCTTGTCCAACCCAACTATTGACAACACGTACTCCAAGATTTCCACCTTGTCCACAGACAATGGCAGTAGAACTTCTACTTCCCTTCCCGTAAGCGGCGCCGTCAGTCTCACGTTCAATCCGAACGGGACGCGTCTGTACGTAGCTCGTGGTAGTGCACCCGTTCCCATCGTAAGCGCTCCTGTGGAGGAGTCCAGAGAGACAGGGATCCCGATGGACGGCGCGGAGTGGACTGACGTGTGGAGATTGCCTCCAGGGGGGGATCCCGATATCAAGACCGTCCGCTTCAGCTCGCAGAGCTTTTCCTCGGACGAGCGCTGCCTCTATTTCCTGGACCCCGACAACCTTCATGTGTGGGGAATCGATCCCCTTACCTCTGCTGGTACCGCGACTCCCCCCGTGCTCATCGCGGGATCCGGCTCGAGAGGAGTGGTCGATGCGGACGGACTCAACTCCTCCTTCAACAACTTGACGGACATCGCCGTCACTCCCGACGGCTGCAACATCTTCGTCGTTGATTACTATTACGGTTCCCTTCGCTGGCTGCAGCTGGACTCACCCTGCTCCGCGGCTCGCAGGGTGCTGACAGTGGAAAGTTTCCCTGGGCTGCGTCTAGTCAGGCTCGGTCAATCCGGCAGCGACCACTACCTGTACATCGGGACGAGCGCCGGCTCCGTGACTGCGCTGAAAATAAATGCCTCGCAGCTGCACTCTTGCGCACCGCCACCGCCACCGCCACCGCCGCCGCCGCCGCCGCGATCTAACCCGAACACCCCCCCCCCCCCTGACACTCGCAATCTAGCCTTAATCGTAGCTCTCCCTCTCTCTGCTCTCGCAGTCCTTGCCGCTTGTGCAAGCTACCTCATTTTACAGAAAAAGAGACGGCACGGAGGGCTTAAGGAGCCCCAGCTAATGACGAACTTGAGGACGAAAGGCAGCGGCGAGTCCACGGTTGCAACGAACGGTTCATCGTCGGGGGTAGCTGGGGGTAAAGATGAGCTGGGGGGAGGACCGGGGGAAGAGAGACAGGAGGGGCTTCATCCTTTGCAGGTGAAGCAGTTCTCACTTGCAGCTCTGTCATATTGCACGCAGAACTTCAGCGAGAGCTACCGCATCGGACCCGGCGGGGCGTTTGGCAATGTCTACTGGGGATCGATGGAGGACGGCAAGGCGTTGGCGATGAAGGTCATGACAGGCGATCTGACAGAGGGGAAAAAGAACATGTTCCTGGCGGAAGTGAACACGCTGAGCAGAGTCCATCACGCCAACCTCATCCGACTCGTCGGATTCTGCCACGAGGGCAATCGGTCGATCTTGGTCTATCCCTACTTCCCAGGCGGGAGCTTGTTCGCTCGTCTGCACGAGAGAGGGAAAGCCGTGCCGGGGAAAGCTTCGATGCCGCCGCTGACGCTCGTGGAGCGACTGTGCATCGCCTTGCAGATCGCTAAGGGCCTAGCCTACCTTCACGAGGGTGCCGACCCACCTGTCATCCATCGGGACATCAAGAGCAGCAACGTGCTGCTTGGCGATGGCTCCGGGGAGAAGTTGCACGTCGTGGTGGCGGACTTCGGCCTTGCAACCATTGGAGAGAAAGTGTTCGGCACGGAGCGTGAGTCGGTGGTGAAGACCTCGCACATGGCGGGCACGTTCGGGTACATGGCGCCGGAGTATGCGAGGGGAGGAATTCTGTCAGACAAGAACGACGTGTACGCTTTCGGCGTTATCCTGCTGGAGCTGCTGACGGGCCGGAAGGCCGTGGCTATGGCACCCTCTGGGGTGGGGTGGGAGACGCTACCGGACTGGGCTAGGCCGTTTCTTAAGCGAATGGTCGTCGTTGGTAATGATACGGCATACCAAATTCTGGACGCTCGCCTGCATGATCAGGCGGCGGGATTCAGGTTCAGCCGTATGGTTAAGGAAACGCTGCTTTTGGCGAGCGAGTGCATACGAGAGGACTATCGAGCGAGGCCAAGGATGTGTGGATTGGTGGAGAAGATGGGCAATCTCCTCAATGAAGCGCAGATCGACGTCAGGCAAGCGAAGCGCTGATCGCCGAGCGAAAATCATCAGGGAGCTGATGAGTGGCGGCCCAGGATTGGTGAAGAAAGATGGGCAATCTGGTGAATCAACCGCAGATCAAGGCCAGGCAAACGAGGCGCTGACGGCAGAGAAAGATAGAACTCGTCATGAAGCCGATGACCGGTGAAGAATCAATCACAGAACGGGCAAATGCTATGTAGCTTTCGTTAGTGGTGGGAGGAAGAGAACCTTGGGTGGGTTGCTTACGGCCAGCGATCCTGTATTCTTTCTCTCTTATTCTTCTTTTCACAAGGGTTGACGGCCGTGACACATCTATGTCGAACTCACCGGGGGCCAAGTCCCACATACACCGTTGAGCCAGTTCAGCGTTGAACTAGCTCAACGTGTGCGACCGTTCGAGACGTCTGAGATGCATGGGAGCTGGGCATCTAGCCGTTCGTTTTCAGATGTGAGAAATGAAAATACCTTGGTTCTTTTTTTTTAATTCAAGAAAGGTGGTGAAAAATGCCTGCACTCGAATACAAAGCCCCCTACCCTCCCCATCGTCCGTTGAACTCGATACCCCACTTCCAGTTCCAGTGGGGAGCGGGGTATGGGTTCAACGGTGCTTCCCATGCTGCATCCTCTATATTCCGTGAAAAATAGTGGTGGCCTCATTACTGTTATCATTGTCTGACGGTGGGCCTCCGTTCAATCAGGTAGTATCTGTCAGCCAGAGCATGCCTCAACATATTCCCCTTCTTTAGTGGGCATACATAGTCATGTATTTACTCCGCTTTATGGTAAAGGTTCTTTCCTACAATTCTGTAACTGGAGTGGGCCACACCTTCTGTGTATGTAGCCATGTTCCTGGTTGGGGCTCTTTCCCACGATTGAAAATCGAAGTGGCCTAATTCCCATGGTTCTGCATGTGAGCTTCCGCCTGAGTTAGCAATGTATGTTGCCCGATTTCTTGAGTAAATGCACCATCCCTTCATTGTGCTGCTCTATCTATTTGCTCGACTTCATCTGTATGTTGCCCGATTTCCTGAGTAAATGCAAGATGCCTTTAATGTGCTGTTGGATCTTTTTGCTCTACTCCCTGCCCTCCCACTTCAGTCTCCGTTCCAACCCCAACAGTCGGGCACTGCTCCATCTTCTTGTGGTAAACGAACGTTGTGACGCCCACCTCACACCCCGCGCGACTTCCTGATCGGAGTGGGATGTGGGCCTGGAAGTGCGAAAAGGGGTGTGCCATGGATTTTTGGGGAAAGTGGGGAAGTCTTATTGGTACAAGTGCAATTTAGGCGAGTCAGGGGCGCCCGCGTAAGAGGCTCAAGGCCCGAGGGGGCTGGGGCCCGTCGGTCGACGGTTTATGGGGAGATCCCTCCGCGGTGGAGGCGGTCCTGAGAAGCTAGGCCGTCGGGGGCCGCCACGTAACGCAGGTCGCCGCGTGCCTGGGTTGGGCCTTCGGAATTCCGGAGTTCCCTGTTCGCCGCTTCGTCGGCAGTTCACGCAGAATGTATTGGGCCAATAGGGGGCTATGGCCGGCCACGGAACGACAATGAGCTGATGATACGGGAGAAGAAGGCGGAAAGGAGGGAAACTGGTGATGATGACAACAAATCCCGGGTGGGTGAAGTAGTAGGTGTGGTCGGGGGAAGGGAAATCCGAGCACCTAGGGTCGCTAGCGGTGGCGCAGTGGAATTCCCGGGGACACAGCCGATTCTCCTTGTGACAGGGGTATCGCGTCCTTATGATCGCGTCCTTATGAGCTCGTTTATCGTAGGGGTGAAATAGTCCGGGTCATAGGATGAATCTGAATTCCAAGATCGCGTCATGGTATCATTGTTGATGGGACCGCTTGGTCGGGATATCGTCACCGCGCACAAGTACGCGCCGGGTAGGCAACCTCAATGGCGCCTCCGCGTGCTTCGTACGGGATGACGGTCGCGCCGCGAATCTTTTTGGGTGAGCGAATCGACGCACAAGAAGGCGTGTAAGGGCGTGACTCGGATCGCGTTTACACGTGTTCTCGTGCGGCGTTCACGGGGCCAGATTCCTATCCTATCTACAGTTGCACCAGGTGTAACGAAGATTCGACACAAACAAAAGGCAAGGACAGGGATTTTCCGCAGTAGTATAGAGGCGCAAGCATAACATCCATACATCCATACATTCAGCAATCATACTCATCGATCAATCGAGATGGAAAATGCAAGGACAAGTGTGATCAAAAACCCAAGTCTCAATTCCCAAAAGTCGGAAACAAAAATTAGAACGGGCAAAACCGCCCGGAGCCGCAATCAAAATGTATGAACACAGATGAGGAGGGGGAAGAGACAAAGAAACAGCAAATCCGCGTCCATCGACCTCAACTCTCTCCTTCTCTCTCTCTCTCCGACGCGGACAGTCCGTCTTCACGCACCAACCCATGAAGTTGTCACCCCACTTAGTCCTTCCGCACCCGTCGGATTCGCCCGTGCCCACAGTCCGTCGTGGCCCATGTCAATCCCGCGCGTTCGGCACCAGCCCGTCGGGTCGCCCAACTCCTACTCTACTTGCCTCTTACTTTGCTCGTGTGCCGACCCTTCCTGATCGCGCAACCCCGAGCTTCCAACAATGGGTTTAGAGAGCTGACTAATCGCGCAGCCGAAATTTATAGGGTGCATGCATGCGCGAAGAACACGGAATAACCAGGACTTAGAGTGAAGATTAGAGAGGGAGCGCCTGCGTTCTGCATGATCGGCCGCGGCGTGGGGGACGTACCCTTCTCCACGCATCGATCCGAGTATGCAAGCCGCGACTTACAGAAATTTCAGCAGAAGAAAGAGAGGGAGGGCGGGATAGACGAAGTGCAAGGAGAAAGATACAGTTACAATCAGGGTTGTCGACCCCCGGCCCCGGGACCCCGCCGGGGTTCCGGGGTTCCGGGGGTCGGCACCCGGGACCCCGGCCCCCAA